TTGTCTTCCCTTTGTCAACTCTATTCTGCCCCTTTGCTCTCTGGCCAGTTCTGCTATTCACAGATACATACATATGTCTGAGTGTACGTGTGTGTGCATGTCTGTGTATACATAGGGGTATATACATATTCTATATCAGGTTTTCAGAAAAGTCAAGACACATTTTTGCATGGAAAAACATAGAAAAATATGTCATGACTTTACTTTTTTTAAAAAAGATTTATTTATTTAATTTTATTTGTTTTATTATTTATCCTTTAATTTGACCAGAGGGAGACACACACACACACACACACACACACACACACACGCACACACACACAGAGAGAGAAAGAGAGAGAGAGGGAGGGAGGGAGAGAGAAAGTGAGACAGCAAGCCGCCAGGTCCAGGACTTGAACCATGGTCACCCATGTGAGAGTCCAATGCCTTAACTACCACGCCAACTGCCAGCCCCCATCATGACTTTTCTAATGACCAAATAGATGTTATATATACAAGGGATCTTCAAAACATTCTTGGAAAATGTACTATGAAAAAACTATGCATGAATTTCAAATATATTTTACATCAAAATAAACTCATTTTAACTTTATTTTCCATATACTTGCTGAAGTCCTTGCATGTATATCTATGCATGTGAATATATATATATATATATATATAAAATAATCCTGTTGACACCAATAGTTTCTATTCATTTTCTTCCATTCACTTAAACTCTGTTGTTTCAACCCCAAATTGCATCATCCTTTCCTTTGCATCATTGGTGACCTGGTTCCAAGACTCGATTTAACTCATCTGACAACTAAGCGTATGGGAGTGTCCTCCCACCCGTTTCCTGGAGAGGGACTATCTCACCACCAGATGTATATTGACTTCAAACACAGTTACGATGTGGTTGTTTTACATGTATATTTCCCCTATTTTTTAGAACCATGAAGTTGTTTCTACTGGCATGTCTATCACATCCATTTTTGTTTGTTTTTAAAATTATTTATTTATTTTTGAAGAATTATTTGTTGGGATCAGCAGATGGTGTAATAATTACGTCGCTGAACTCCCACATACTTGACCGTAGTTCAAGTCCCGGACGCAGAGGCTTGAAACTCACACTAAGCATGTGCATGCTTAAAATCCCGGGAGGAGAATGAGAGAGAAGGGATTGCAGGGTGGCCATTTCCCTGGGGGATGATTTCTCACTTTTGTCCATCTCTCTGGAGAGCACACACTCCCTAAGGCAAAAATCTCTCTTAAGAGAAGTTTTAAAAAGAATTATTTATTTAACTTTATTTATCATTGTTATTATTATTATTTTTTTAATTTGCTACAGGGCATGTGTGCTCACCAGAGAGAGACCAAGAGAGAGAAAGACAGAGAAGGCGAGAAAGCGAGCTGTCAGATCTGGATGGCCACTTGAACCATGGTTGGCCATGTGGGAGTCCAGTACCTTTCCCACCATGCCACCTGCTGGCCCCTGTTTCTTTTTTTAAATGAGAAAGAAAGCAGGGAGGGAGACATTTTTGACAGGGTATTGTCATATGACAATCCTCCCGCCCTCCTCCCAGTTAGCTAGGGCAATAGCTATTTATCACTGCACCTGATCTGTTTAGGTGGGACCTAATCCTGGCCTTCCATGGGGCTTCAGCCTACCAAGAAGCAGCGTCTTACTGGTATGCAATACAGCGACTGGGCCCTTCATCACACCTTGTGTACTGCCAATTTCCTGACTGTTAGTTGGACTTCTTAGGTCCTTACTATTCCAAGCTTAGACCTCAAACAGGCAGCATCAGCATCGCGTGGGACCTTGTCAAATAGTATGGTGGTTGAGGCACTGAGCTCTTGTATGGCTGTCTGCAGTTTGAGTCTTGGACCTGGCAGCTTACTTTCTTTCTCTCTGTCTCTCTCTGGTGAGTGCACATGCCCTATAGAAAAAAAAATAGATAATAAATAAAATTACATAAATAATTAAAAAAAAAACAGAAAACACAAGAGCTATACTTTTTAATTGCCTAAAGAAAAAAAAAAAGGCCCAAAATCCTGAGAGGAGACTAGAAGTGAAGAAATTACAGCCTGGCCATCCCCACTGGGGGAGGGGGGATGATTTCTCGCTTTCTCTCACTCTGCCTCTCCAGGTAAGTGGTGAGTGCACACTAACCCTGGAGTAAAAAAATCTCTCTCAAAAAAACAAACAAAAAAACCCCCCAAAAAACAAAAAAGAAATGCAGCTGCTACCTGTTGAATGGGAACCTGCATTTTAACAAGTTCCCCAGGTGCTTTCTGTATAGAGGCTCTAGCTGCCTTAGAAGAGGGAATTCCGAAGCAGACTTGGAAAGAAGGAATCTCACCTGCCATAGGCCCGTCTCTCGTAGAGACTGAACTGTAGTTCAATAATTCAAGTCATTGCAGATCAAATGCAGCTTCGACAATCTCACTGTCTTTTGGATCCTGTCGTACTTTTAACATACTGTCGCTACTTTCCTTTCTGTGGCTTCTATACCTCAGGGCTTCTTCTTCTTCACAGCTCTTCCTGCCTCGTGGCCTCCAGGGCCTGCCTCTGTGCGTATCACGACCTCCACAGACCAGGCAGGATTGAGAGTATGGGCTTGCAAACCAGTGAGATAGTTTGGCTTCCTTTTTATTTTATTTTTTTCCATATGGCATGTGTGCTCACTGGAGACACAGAAAGAAAGAGACAGTGACAGTGAGAGGCAAAGTGAGAAGTAACCTCCCCCAAGGGGATGGCCACACCACAGTCCCTTCTCCTCTATTCTCCTCTTGGGATTTTGGGCACACACACACATGCACCCAGCATGATTTTTAAGCCACCAGATCCAGGACACAAACTGTGGTTGACAATGTGGAAGTCCAGTGTCTTAACCACTAAGCCGCCTGCTGCTCCCCACTTTTAATACTTTAAAAATATTTGATCAACATTTACTTAGTGACAAGTGATTTTTGTAAAGTTATGCGAAAATACACACAACACAAAATTCTGCCGTCTTAACCATTTTTGAGGGTACGGTTCAGTAGTGTGAAGTATATTTTCATCGTTGTGCAATTGAGTTCCAGGCCTTTTTCAACACGGAAAACTAAAACTGTGCCCATTAAACAGCAGGTCCCATGCCCCTTTCGTCCTAGCCCTGGGCAGCGGCCACTCACATCTCTGTTTCTGTAAGTTTGACTCTCGCACTTCATATATGTGAAACCACACACCATCTCTTTGTGACTGGCTTATTCAGGTAGTATGATGTCCTCGAGCTGCAGCCATCTCAAGGCCAAAGGGTTTTCCACTGTGTACATCTAAGCGCACACACCATCTCTTTGTGACTGGCTTATTCATGTAGTATGATGTCCTCGAGCTGCAGTCATCTCAAGGCCAAAGGGTTTTCCACTTCGTTCATCCATTCACCTAGTGATGGACACATGGTTTGCGCCCACATTTTGGCTATTGTGAGTAGTGCAGCTGTGAATGTGGGTATATAAATAACTCGTCAAGACCTGAAATTCAACTCCTGTGGCTATATACCCAGAAGTGGTGGCTGGGCCATATGGTAATTCTGTTTTGGGATCGGTTTCACATTTTACGTTCTTGCCAACAGAGCGCAAGTGTTCTTCTTTCTCCAGTTCCTCCGCAATGCGTGTGATTTTCTCTTTCTGTGACAGCAGCCACTCTAATGAGGGTGAAGTGATACCTCCTTTGTGGTTTTAGTTTGCATTTCCCTAAGGATTCGTGATTTCGAGCATCTTTTCATGTGCTTGTTAGCAAGTAATTTTCTTCTAATAAAAAATGTATATGCCACGGTCTTTATGGACAGACTGAGTAATTCATTCTATGCAATTTCCCAAACCAGACAACTTCTTGGAAGGCGTGTTCAAGTGTTGAAATAATAAAATAGTCTGGTTACTCCCTGCAAACAGCCCTGCACCCGCTTCATCTGCTCTGGCTCTGTCTGCTGATTTTGGCAAGTCGTCCTCAGAGCTGGTGGCTGGGTGGGGTGGCCCAGTGTGGCAGGTATGGGAGTGCCCCGAACACATCACAGGGACTATTCTGCACGTCGAGGAGTGTTTTAGGGTGGTGACTGCTTTAGTGGGAAAGGAAACGATTTAGGGTTCACCTCGTTTCTGGTGAGTTCTGGCAATGTTTTAGTGCCTTTGAATGCGGTGGTCCCCGTGGGCGCAGACAGGCAGCCAGCTCTGGCTGTAAGCCTGGAATTCAGATTCACTAGGGGAGGATCCGAGTGCTTCGGGGATCACTTGTCCTTTCTAGGCCCCGGAAAGCTAGGGATGCTTATTCAGGTGCTGGGGCCTTGGTCTGTCCAAGCAGGAGCTCCCCTGAGGGCAGCTGTGGGTGCGGTGGGCCTGCAGAGCAGCCTCCTCCACCAGGCCAGGCTGAACCAACGTTTGTAAGCCGCTCCTACACCAGGGCAGAGCCGGGAGGCTGTGCACACGCATGTCTCACGCTGTTTGTTCCCTCGTCAATTGTCTCGCAAATGTTGCCACTTTGTCTGACACACCTGTTCTCTTCTGATGGGGAGGTAAGGAAGTCCAACGTTTTTCCAGTGGAAGCTTTCTTTGATCCCTAAAAAACTAGTAAATGATTTGGGATCAGCGTGTGGCCTGGTTGTTAAAGCAGGTAGTTCTCACACAGCCAATCATGCAGTTCAAGTCCTAGGCCCAGCGGCTTGAGAAACACTCTGGGCACGTGTGTGCCCAAATCCCCAAGGGAGAAATGGAGGAGAAGGGATTGCAGTGTGACCATCCCCTGTGAGGGGTGCATTCTCACTTTTTCCATCCCCTCTCCCAGTCTCTCTCCTGCGATTGCATGCCCTCTCTGGCAATTTCTTTTTTTAAGTGATTTGCTGAGTCTCTTGTGAAAATGACAGATCTCACTGTAATTCCTCCCTTGCTGTCTACCCCTTCCTTTTTTTTTTCCCAAAGAATTATTTTCTTTAACCTTATTTATTTATTTGTTTATTTATTTAAATTTGACCAGAGAGGGGCAGAGTGAGAGAGAGAGAGAAAGTAGGAAAGCAAGACTATTCTTCTGCCTTCGGAGCCACCAGAAGGAAATGAGCAGCCTCGATCCTTGCCAACCTGGAGAGGTTAAAGGGTTACAGTGGGGCAGAGGGACAGGAAGTCCCAGCTTGCCTGGAGGCTGAAGAAGAGAATCCTGGCCTTTTCTAGCCTCTAAGTGCTGCTGTGTGCTCGGCTCATGGCCCCTTCTTCCGTCTCTGAAGCCAGGGCCTTGGCATCTGATCCCTGTCCCTGTTGCGTCTGTTTCTCTGACCCAATCCAGGAGTTTTTCTGACTGTAAGATCCCTGTGATTCTGCTGGCCCCCTGGCTAATTCACGAGACTCCCCTATCTCCAGGTCTGTATCTTTCCACATCTGCAGGGACCCTGTGCCAGGAAATGCATTCACACATCCGGGAGATTAGGATGCAGACATTCTACCTACCAGAGGACACAACCAAGAATATAATGAAGGCATGCCGAGCAACTCATTTGTTAAAGTGCTTTGCTATTTTTCTGGGGTTTTTGATCTTTGTTACTCGTCCTTTTAAACATTTGTAATTTATTATGTTTCTTTTCTCCTCTTTTCCTCACAAATACATACTCTTTGGTGTCTAATTCTGTCTTCTTTTACTTAAAGAGGATTCCCGATACTGTGCAAACGTCACACTCCATCTATGCCGGCTCAGCGCTTCTCCAGTCATGCCCCGCCTAAGCTGAGCGCTTGACAGAACTCCCCTTCCACGCACCTCTAGCCGGGGGTCCGCTGTTCGGGGGTGGCGTAGTGCACAGGCCAGCAAGAGAGCCCAGACCTGCAGAAGTGGGGGTGACCCATGTCTCAGACAGTGGCCCTCCTGTCTGTGAGCCTGAGGGCCACCTACCAGGGCAAAGAGCAATGTAGACAGGCCGCCAGGGATGCCCTGATTGGCAGGCTGGCTTTGTGTGCCTGTGGGCAGGAAGAGGGCAGGGCAGAAGAGGGTGATGGGAGAGGCCCTGATGCGTCACCCCATGACCTCGTCCACCTTCTGCTTTGGCAAGTGCCACAATCTCGGCTCATCGGTCAACTCTTCCTTCCCTCCTCATGCCCACAACCCTGCAGCTTTTTCTCTGCGATGCTTCCCTGGCCTCAGCATAACCAGCAGTCCCTCTTCTTTTCTTGCGCTGTCGTAGGAAATAGGCCAGGGCTGGTCCAGCGACCTAGTGGTTGAGGAAGCTGGATCCCACAGAGCAGACTGGGGTTCGAATCTCACCCCAGTAGTGACTTGAAACACACTGGGTATGTGTGCATGTGTGCCCCAAACCCTGACGGGATGGAAAGATGGAGAAGGGATTGTGGTGTGACCATGCCCCACTAGGGGGTGCTTTCTCTCCCTCCTTCTCCCTCTCCCTCTCACTGTGGCCCACAATGGAGAGGCATCAGACTCCCGTCCTTCAAGGCCACCTCTGCATTCTTTTTCTTGCTCCCTTTCTCAGCCTTGAGTTCTCTCAGGCCCTGAGCTTCCGTATCTCTCTCATGAATGCAGCCTCTGGCCAAAAAAGGGAAAAGAAATGCGCCTATCGCCGGCGGTTTTTCTTGGGCCCATTTCATTTACTCTCTTCATCTCTTAATGCTTCATCCCCCCTCATTCCCTCTCAAGAGAGTCAAGGCCCAATATTCAAGGCCAAGTCCCCTAGTTTGCTTGAGCTTCTTCCATTCTGCTCCTGGACTCTTTCTAAACTACGACCCCCTTTTGACCTCTCCAGTTCTCTGTTTCTCAAGCCCGACCTACTCCCTGACACGGCTTTCCCCCGGGGCCATTCCTTCTCTGGGGCTTTGCTTCTCCTCGCCCTGCATCTCTGCCAGATCCCAGCCTGCTAGGCAGCACCTTGTCCCTTCTACTGCACACGACTCCCTCACACGGAAGACAGTCCCTTCCCATGCCGGTACCTGCTTCTTGGCCCGTTGGCCCAGGTGTACCCAAAGCACCGCCGATCCATGTTCTAATACGTAGTCTAAATATTTGACTCCAAAGGTTGCTAGCTGGTCTCCTGCCCTCTCGCTTTCTACCAGGGCACAAAGTCTCTTCCCAGCACCTCCCCTTTGGTCCTCTTCCCTTCCGGGTGCTCTGCAGGGGACCAGTATGCACACGTGCACGTCTGTGGAGTATTTTCTCGTTCGTAGTCCTGATCATCCTGTATCACCGCATCATCTCAGGTCATCGCAACAGTCGTGCTGAGTGTGCTCGATCCCCGGGCCCTGGCAGTATAGCAGACAGTCCCCTTATGATGAAGGGGATCCTGGCTCCTCTCCCAGCACTAGGCAGGGGCCCCGCAAGAGTCCCTTGTTGAGTTTCTTGTAACCCATTGTCCCTCTCTGCTGGTCATGGCCCATGATGGAGAGGCCATTGAGCTCCCATCCTTCAAGGCCAGCTCTGTGTTCTTTCTCTTGCTCCTTTCTCAGCCTTGAGTTCTCTCAGACCCCGAGCTACTCTCCTCCTCACGTCCCCTCCCCACGCCATTTTCCTCCTCTCATCTCACTCCTGGGGACCCTTGTTCTTTCTAGGGCAGAGACATAATTCACACTCCCTTTAGAATCCCCTCCAGGATCATCTCTGAATGAACTGCCTCCTTCCTTTCTTTCTCCCCAAGTTGGACGTGCTTTCTCTGAAGGGCAAGCTCCCGCACCCTGGGAGAGTTCCTCTGCCCTCCCAGACCTGTGTGTGACAAGACCTCTGTGACAGTTCACTCACCTCCTCGTGCCCAAAGCCATGCCAGCCCATTCCAGCAGCTTTCCTGTTGTCCTGAGGCACTGGGCACCAGAGAAGGTAGTGAGCAGAGAGAATTAGTTCAGCATCAGAGGCCGGGCAGGACCGGGTCTCTCGCCAATGAAAGCAAGAAAAGTCCACGCAGCTACATCCCAGGGGGCAGGCAGCCAAGTCCTCTGACCTCCCGGAGACCAAGGGCCCTGGGTCCTGTTCGGTCACAGTTAGTCATTCCCACATTTATCTGTGTGTCATTTCCGGAGAGCCTCCCTTCTCGCTTCAACAGGGCACTCGGGGCCTCCTAGCAATACAGTACCTGCAGCTCTAAGGCCCTTCGGAAAGCGGATGTGTGGGGGCGGAACTGCATGTGGGTGCCAATTTTTTCCCTTTGTTTTGCTATAGGACATGTGCACTGGCCTGAGAGAGATGGGGGAGAGAGGGACTGAGAAATGACCGGCCACACTGCAACCCCTTCTCCTCCGTTCTCCTCTCAGGGTTTTGGGCATGTATGCACACATGCCCGATGTGATTTTCAAGCTGTGAGGTCTAGTGGGCCATGAGGGAGTCTAGCACTTAAACCACCATGCCACCTGCTGGCCAGGAGCTCAGAATTTGCTATACCAGAATAAACTTGTCCTTTCATTCTAATTTTCCACAAAGCATTCGAAGTTCTCTCACATACACATGTGCACACGTACACGTGTCCTCCCAGCCTCATGGCCAGTAAGAACTTCTGAGGGTGTGGGGTCCTCACCACCCTCAACCCAGGGGGTCTCAAGTTGAAGAGCAGCATTTCATGGAAAGGACACGCATCGGGAGGAGGCAGCAGTGGGGAAGCTCGCTGACCCAGGAAGGAGGTGTCCTGGCGACCACCCACTCCCGTCTTAGAGCTGTCCGCTGCTGCTCTGTAATGTTACCTCCACGCATTTAGCTGCCAAAGACTTCCTAGAAAGGAAAAAGGAAACCTGGGAATATAGAAAATTATAGGGGAAAAAATTAAAATCATCCCAACCCAGAACTAATCACTGTTTCCATTTTATATATCCATAACCATGTCCACATATACTTACCTAAAGTGTCTCTAAAAGATAATATATGTGTGGGGCCAGCAGTTAACATAATGGCTATGTCATTGGACTCCCACATAGTCGACCGCGGTTCAAGTCCTGGACCCGGTGGCTTAAACTCATGCCGGGTGCGTGTGTGTGCGTGCCTAAGATCCTGAGAGGAGAATGGAGGAGAAGGGATTGTGGCGTGACCATCCCCCTGGGGGGTGATTTCTCGCTTTCTGTCTCTCTGTCTCTCTCTGTCTGTCTGGCGAGCTCACGTGCCCTATAGCAAAAACCTCTCCAAAAAAAAAAAAAAAAAGATAATATATGTGACGTTTGGTAGTTTTAAACCTTCCGTAGTGTTTTATATGAGCCTACATATTTACTCTTTTCAGTTCTTTTTATTCCTCCCCGAAGTTCCCGGGTTCTCTCTGAAATGACTTTTCTTTAGCCGGGGTAACTTCCTTGCTATTTCTTGGAATCAAAGTCTGCTTGCAACAAGTTCTTTCGCTTTTGTTTGTCTGAGAATGTCTTTATTTTACCTTTACTCTTGGAGGGTATACTATGTGTCAGGTTCTTGGTCATCAGCACGCACAATACAGATACCAATCGTTTATATTTTTGCTTTACAATTTCGACCTCAAAGGCAGCCATTAAGCCTGGTTTTTACTGATCTGTATTGCTTTTGCATCATCATAAGGCTGAAAAAATTTAAGATGTGGGACCAGCAGTTAACGTAATGGCTATGTCGCTGGACTCCTGTGTAGTGGACCACAGTTCATGTCCCGGACCCGGTGGCTTAAAACTCACTCCGGGCATGTGTATGTGCGTGCCCGAGACCCCGAGAGAATGGAGGAGAAGGGATTGCGGTGTGGCCATCCCCCCTGGGGGGTAATTTCTCGTTTTATGTCTCTCTCTCTGTCTGTCTGGTGAGCTCATGCACCCTATAGCAAAAACCTCTCCAAAAAAAGGAAAAAATTTAAGATGAACCATCATAAGTTGGGAATGGTCTGTCATTCATCTCTTAAGCTCTGTTCTTTCTTCCTTTTTTTTTTTTGTCTCTGTGCTTCACTTGATGTACATTTGAATTCATTATCCCTATCTTTTGCCAATTGAATTTGTTGTTAAACCATCCAATATGTTCTTAATTTCAGATGTTGTATTGTTCATTTTTGTAATGTCCAGTAGATTCTTTTATTATTATCATTACTATTTTAAAGAGATTTTTTGAGAGGTTTTTGCTATAGGGCAAAGAAAGAGAGAGAGAGAGACAGAGAGACAGAAAGCGAGAAATCACCCCCCAGGGGGGATGGCCACACTGTAATCCCTTCTCCTCTATTCTTCTCTTGGGATCCTGGGCATGCACACACTAGCACCCGGTGTGAGTTATTTTGAGAGATTTTTACTATAGGATTCCTATGCTCACCGGAAAGACCGAGAGAGAGAGAACAAGAAATCACCCCCTGGGGGGATGGCCATGTCACAATCCCTTTTTCTCCATTCTCCTTTTGGGAATTTGGGCACGCACACACATGTGCCTGGCATGTTTTAAGCTGCTGGGTCTGGGACTCGAACCATGGTCAACTACATGGCAGTTCAGCTACATAACCATTACGCCATCTGCTGGTTCACCAGTTGGTTCTTTTTAAAAATGTTTTTGGGCCAGCAGGTGACTTTAAGATTAAGGAGCTGGATCCCACATGCCTGATAGCATGGTTCAAGTCCTGGACCTGGCAGCTTGAAAAATCACACCGGGTGCAAGCGTGTGCTTGCTCAAAGTCCTGAGAGGAGAATGAAGCAGAAGAGATTGCGATGGGGCACCCCGAGGGGTGCTCTCTCTCACCTCCACTCCAGTCTGTTTCTCTCCAGCGAGCCCACAAGCCTCATAGCAAAAATAAAAAAGAGAAAAGTTTTATTGCGAGAGAATTTATGTAAATTTACTCAAGTGAACAACTGGATGATTTTCAGTATCTTCAGAGTTGTGCAACTATCACCAAAATCTAATTTTAGAGCACTTCCATCACTCCAAAAAGAAAGCTCGTGTCCATTTGCAGCCATCCCTCATCCTGCCTGCAGCCGCGGCGCCCTCATCTACTTCCTCTATAGATTCGCCTTACTAGAACGTTTCATGTAAGTGAAGCCCCCTCATATATTTGGGGGTACCTTTCTTTTATTAGAAGAATGTTTTCAAGATCTCCCCATGTCATGCCCTATATGCCTTTACTTCTTTATATTGTCAGACAGCATTCCATTTTATATAATAGTATTCCATTGTACGCCATGTTTTATTTACCTATCCCCCCTAACCACCTGATGGACACCGGAGTCAAGTTTTTAACCTATTATGACTAATGCTCTCTCCACATTTGTGTGCAGTTATGTGTGGGGCACGTGCCTTTCATTTCTCTTGGTTAGATATGCAGAAGTGGAATTACTGGGTATAATAATATGGTACATTTATGATAAAAAATGTTAAGTAATGAGTTCTGGACTCAGCAGCTTGAATATCACACTGGGTACGTGTGCATGTGTGCCCAGAATCCTGAAGGGAGAATGGAGAAGGGATTGCAGCATGGTTGACCCTCCAGGGACAAGGGGTTGATTTCTCACTTTCGCTCATTCTCTCTGTCTCTCTCTCTCAGCGAGTGCACACGCCCTACAACAAAGACTAAACAATAAAAAAAATAAGTAACTCGGGACCAGCAGTTAGCGTAATGGCTATGTCACTGGACTCCCACGTAGTCGACCACGGTTCGAGTCCCTGACCCGGTGGTTTAAACTCACGCCGGGCACATGTGCGTGCATGCCCAAGATCCCGAGAGGAGAATGGAGGAGAAGGGATTGCAGCGTGGCCATCCCCCCTGGGGGGTGATTTCTCGCTTTCTGTCTCTCTGTCTCTCTCTTTCTGTCTGGCGAGCGCACGCGCCCTATAGCAAAAACCTCTCCAAAAAAAAAAGAAAAAAATAAGTAACTCAAAGACTTTTTCCTAAGTGGCTGCAGCATCTTACATTCTTACCAGCAGTGTATGACAGTTCAGTTTCTCTACACCATTACCAATATGTACTATCTGCCTTTTTTATTGTAGCCATTTGTGTGTGTGTGTTGCAAGAGGTGTTTGTGTTTTTAACTTGCATCTATTTAATAACTATTTCTCTACACCATTACCAATATGTACTATCTGCCTTTTTTATTGTAGCCATTTGTGTGTGTGTGTTGCATCTATCTAATAACTAATGTTCTTGAGTATATTTTCACGTGCCCATTGGTGAGACAGCTATTTAAATCGTTCACTTTTAAATTGGGTTAATTGTATTTTGATTATTGATTCGTAAGAGTTCTTTATATAGTCTGTATACCAGTTCCTTATTGGGTATATGACTTTGCAAATATTTTCTCTAAGGCTGAGTCATCATTTCACTTTCTTAATAGTGCAAGCATTTTTAATTTCAATGAAGTTCAATGTATTATTTTTCTCATATCATTAATGCTTTTGATGTCATATTTAATCAATCTATGCTTAACCTAAAGTCATGGAGATTTACATTTGTATTCTTTTCCTTAGAGTGTTACAGTTTTCGCTCTTACATTTAGGCCCAGAATCCGTTGTTAGTCAATTTTTGTGTGGGTGTACATGGTGTGATGTAAGGGTTTAACTTAACCTTGCTGCATTTGAATATCCAGTTCTCTTAGCGCTATTTTTAAGAAGGCTGCTCTTTCCTCCATTGAGAGACCTTGGATATGTGTCAGAGCTCAACTGATGTAATAAATATTTCTTGAATCTCAGTTCTGACCCATTAATCTCTGTTTATTTTTATGCTAACACCACAGTGTCTTGGTTAATGTAGCTTTGTAGTAAGTTTTGTTTTTTATTTATTTATTTTTTTTGAGAGGTTTTCGCTTATAGGGCGCGTGCACTCGCCAGACAGACAGAGAGAGACAGAGGGGCAGAAATCACCCCCCAGGGGGGATGGTCACACCGTAATCCCTTCTCCTCTAATCTCCTCTCGGGATCTTGGGCACGCACACACACACGCCCGGCGTGAGTTCTAAGCCACTGGGTCTGGGACGCGAACTGCGGTCAACTACGTGGGAATCCAGTGACATAGCCATTACGCTAACTGCTGGTTCCCTGTAGTAAGTTTTGAAGTGTAAGTTCTCCAACTTTGTTCTTTTCAACATTATTTTGGCTATTCTGGGTCTTGTGTGTTTTTCTATAGACTGTATTTCTCCATTGACACATTCTTCCCCTTCATCCTTTTGTTGAGAGTATCTTCTATTCATTTCTCATTAATCATAGTTTTTTTTTCTTCAGGATTTTGTCATAAGGTGCATGTGTTTAACAGAAAGAGAGACAGAGAAAGGGAGAGACTGAAAGGGAAAGCGAGAAATTGCCCCTTAAGGGAGATGGCCACAGCACAATCCTTTCTCTTCCATGTTCTTCCTGGGATTTTTGGGTACACATGTGCACATGCCTAGCACGATTTTTCAAGCTGCCAGGTCCAGGATTTGAACTGCACTTGGTCATGTGGGAGTCCAATGCCCTAACCATCAGCCCACCTGCTGGTCCCTAATCATAATCATTTTTAAGTCTCTGCTAATTTCAATATTTGGAATCTTTGTGGGTCTGTTTCTTTCATTGTCTATTTTATCTCTTGATCATTAGTTACATTTTACTTCCGCTTCACATATATAGGAATTTTCATTCATTGTTGACCGAACATCATGAATCACAGAATTAGATGTCTTCCAGATAGTGTTTTCCCCCAGAGGGGGTTTCCATCTTTGTTCTAGTTGGCTATAGGGTGAGAAGATAATTATTTAAATTAGGCTGGGGATTAAGGTGTGTCAGGGATGTGTTGAGCTTTTATTTATTTGTTAATTTATTTTTTCCATGGAAGAGAGAGGCAGACCTCCAACAGGAGCCTCATACCATGGTCCACCCTCAGCCTTTCTCCTAGGAATGTGGGTGCTTGCCTGAGGTGTACAGGGAGTCCCCAGGACACAAACCTGAGACCTTCCCATGTGGGTCCAAGATCATAGAGCATTAGATTACCCCTGCTGACCCATACTGTGTTTTGGCAAGACTCCTTTCACCTGTGCGCTGTCCCAGTTCCTCAATCATGGTCTTCCCAGTCTAGTTTGAGAGGCCAATGGTGCGTCTCCTCAATTGTGAAATACTACAAAAAATTTAATTCTTCCCTTTTAAGCTTTTAGCTTCTCTGTTTAGCATCCTGCCCCACATAGCTTCAAAATCTTGCAAATGTCTTGAGGGGAAGGCTGACCATGTTTCTGAGGCAGGCTTTTCTACTTATAATGAGATGTTGTCTTTTGAGTGTTGCGAGGTTGAGAGAGATGTCAGACTGCTTTTTAGAAGCTTCTAACCTAGCTCTTAACATTGCAGACTTTAGCAAATATGGGGAACATTGGCCATGCACTTCGGGTCTTCTAATTCCTCATCTTTTGTGCCAACCCCACACAGATACCAAACATTAACTGGATTCTCTTTTCCAGAGGAGAATTCTTTTGTGGGGCCAAGACTGAACCTGCATTCTTGCCCAGAACTGGCAAAACAGCTCCCAAAAAGGTCAACTTGTATCTCATGTACTCTCTTCTCTCTGGAGCTTCAGTTTGATTTTTGTTGCTTTCACAACTCTCCAAAGTCATCTTCTTTTCTAAAGAGAATTATATTTATTTATTTATTGTTTAATTTTCTCACTAGAGAGAGAAAGTGAGAAAGCAAAGTGCCAGGTCCAGGATTCAAATCGCAGGTGGCCATATGGAAGTCCAGCACCTTAACCACCATGTCACATGCTGGCCCCTCTGAAGTCTTTCAAAACGGTTATTTTTTATGATTGAATAACCCTTTTCCAGTTGTTGCGGCAGACGTATTTACATGACATGACTTCTGTGTTCTACCTGGAAGCAAAACTCTCACTGGATTATGTTAAGTCAAATTCCGGATATTACATCATTTTACTTATGACTATTTCAGTATATTTCTCTAAGAGATAAGGGGTTGATAGAAGCTCTATTTTTAGAAAAAAAAAGCAACCACAATTTAAACATAATTCCATGATATAATTTAATATCAAGTCAGTGTACAAATTTTCCTAATTGCCTTTTTTTTTTTTTTAAAGAGAGCTTTTTGGTAGAGGGCATGTGCACTTGCCAGAAAGACAGAGAGACAGAGAGACAGAAAGTGAGAAATCAGCCCCCCGGGCAGATGACCACACCGCAATCCCTTCTCCTCCATTCTCCTCTCAGGATTTTGGGCGTGCATGCACACGCACATGGTGTGAGTTTTAAGCTGCCAGGTCCAGGACTTGAACTACGGTCAACTACATGGTAGTCCAGTGATATAACCATTATGTCATCTGCTGGTCCCTCCTAATTGATTTTTAAATGACTTTGTTGGTTTGTTTAGATCAGGATTCACCCATTGTTTATAAATAATAAGTCTCTTAGGACTTTTGACTCCATAAGAGTTTCCCCCCACTTTTTTTTCCTTGTCCTTTATTTATCTGAGAATCTTGGTCTCTTGTCCTATAAAAAATGTTCACATTCTAGATTTGACCAATTGTTCTTCCAAGGCGTCATTTAATGCTATAGCTCCTCTATCCCTAGTATTTCCTGTAATACGGTAGTTAGACCCAAAGCTGATTGAGTTCACGTTCAGTTTTTTGGACTAGACGATGCCATGTTCTTCCTGTTGCATCGCTTCAGGGGCTACATGCTATCTGTTTGCGTCTTTTCAGTTTTTTTTGTTGATTTACTAGCTGGAAGTGCTACTTGTATGTATTTCTTTGATTATTAGTAAAGTTGAGCATTTTCTTCTATGTAGAATTATTCTTTTTAAAAGTTTATTTCTTCCTTTCTTCCATTACTGAGAGGAAGAGAAACAGAAACAGACAGAAAGACAACAGCCCACCAGCGTCCTCACGTCATGACCCACCGCCAGCTCTAGCCAGCCCAATCCCCATGTGCACACACACGCCGGCATGTTCAGGAACCTCTCCAGGCGCAACCCTGAAACCCACCATGTGGGTCAGCCTTGCAGAGTGTTGAGTAACAGCTGTGCCACTGGGAATTTTATTCGAATTACGAATCTATAAACTACCTTGGGAAAACTG